TTTTCCCCCCCCCCCCCCCCCACGTCTGCAGCAATAAGAGTCTATCCCACCAACTCTCTTTAAGGAAAGGGTTTTATTTCTATCGCCTTAAAGGATGCGAACACGGATCGGAGGTGTGAACTATAGCCCAGGAGATGATAAATATAACCGCGTACTATCAGTTTCAAAGATGGGGATCAGGGATAATCCCCACCTGCCACCACCCCCTTTTAAACTGCTACACAAAGTCTTCAAGACTGTTCGCCGTTGGTCTGTATTACAGCGCAGAGAAATTATAAGACAGGAGGCAAATGAGGTGGGGGGGTGTGTGGAAGGAAAGATTAGGCCCCTAACGAGCCATATTAGGTCCACGAAACAGAAATATACAGGCGAGATGCACGGAATGAAGCTTCTGAGTTTATCTTCACAACACGCAGATTTCAACATCGATATTTAAAATACCACACACGCTCTGTGAACCAGACACGGACAAAAATGCAGTTTGATCCCTTAACAATGTCCTCGAGATTTCTTTTAACATGTACCATGAAGTAGAAGGCTGGCATAACTGCCACCAAAAAAACAACAACAAAAAACCCTCAGCTCCGCCAGTTACAATAACGCGCCATATTCGCCAGATACAGCGGCTCCCTTTCCTTTTTTGTGCGGTCAATCCCCCAATACGATGAGGTAAAGAGCACGAGCAAAAGACCATCCACTGTTTGGAATGGCCGGGGAAGAGACAACGGGGGATCACAATACACGCATATGCACCACAAGCCAAGGAGATGCTCCGCCACTTTTCACCTTCCCTTGTAAAGGCCCGACATCCCCTCCACCACTCCTCACAAGACACATGACAATCCCAAAATAATGCGAAGGAGAATGGCAGACTCACCTGTAATGGTCGCAGGCCAGGCAGCAGTAGCACCCCTTTAACTGAGCCCCTCTCTTATCCCAACCAAAACAATGCAACAGTCCCACTGCGGATGTCCCTCGTCTGACCAGGACGTAGCCGTCAGTAGCCTGTGGGGGAACGGGGGAGGGTGAATGGCAGGGACCCTGAACGCTGCTCGCTGCACAGGGCTCCGCCGCGAGAAGGTAAGAAGCGCCTTCGCCCTAGGACTTCTGCACAACCCCCTAACTGCCACTGCTGCCGCGGCCGCCACTGCTGCTCTTGCTCCCGTGTCTCCCTCCTCGCAACCGCCTACGCTCCCTCCTATGTCACTGCCTCTCTCTGGGAAAATGGCGCCGGCTCTCCCCCTCCCTTCCTCCCACTGCACGGGGTTCACCCGTCCCGCCTGGCAGGGGCAGGGTTACCAAGGCGAAGCCAAACAGCCGCCATTTTGCTTGTGGGCTAGAGCTAGGTTTGCGCCCGTGAACGCAAGCCCTCCTCGGGGTCCATTTTACAAAAAGCTCGACTAGCTAGGAGGCAGAAAGCAAGGGTTCCTGAAGAAACGTAATCAAATGAAGAGCAGAACCGAAGATAGCCTCCCCTGAGCTTTTTTTGTTTTGTTTTTAAAGACGCCGCGCAGAAAGGAGCGGGATTGTGGTGCTCTGCAGAGCTACTGGTAGTGCCGGAAGGAGACGGAGGAGGGGCCCAGCCTGGGGTGGCGGTGGAAAAGTTGTTTGGGTTGGTGACCGTGCAGACGGTGAGGGAGGAGTAGGGCAAAGTCCGAGCGCATACTCAAGGACTGGCTGGAGAACTGACTGACTAAGAAAGGATGAGAAGACGTTGGTTGCCTTCCACACGTTGCATGTAGGAGTTCAGAAACTAACGCTACTGCGAACCGCAAAACCGCCGGAACTGACTTAATGCCATTGCCTATCAACGGCACGGGTGGCAGCGTGACGAGTTCTCTTCAGTTCACTGTGCAGCCAATAAAACCTTCTGTTTGACTTCAGAGAGATTTTTAAAAGTCAGGGTTATCAGAAAATGCCCTCCTAACTTTTGCGACCCTTAATATATTTACTCAGAAATCCCTTTCCGTCGGGCTGACCTTCTGGTTCGTACACGGTTTTAGTATTTTAACCTGACGTCTGTAAAGATTTAGGAGAAGCTTGGCTCAGTCAGCTGCGTCTCCTGAAAAAAAAACGAGTGCGCGGCTTCATAGTTGAGGTCTCTTCGTTTTTAACCGAAGGAGCAGTGACTCCCGGGCATATGCTTCTGAAGGGTGCCTGTCTTGCAACCCCACACCCACATCTTCATAGGAGGAAATCATCCTTTGAGCTGGATGCAGATTTAGGAGCATCTGCTGCACAGAAAAATTACAGTCCTGGGTCAACGGACAAAACGACGCCGTGGCATTCCCCGTTTTTGTGCGCAGCGGGAAGCCAATGTCTGCGCGTGAACCATTTCGTCTTCCTTTATATAAACCAGTTTTGAAGCGAATTCAAGGAGGGTGCTTGTGTTCCTGCGATTTGCTGTTTCCCCCTTCCTACGCGCCGATGTCCTCCATTCCCCTCCCTTGCTCGCTTCCCCTCTTGCCTACGCACCGACTTAGTTCGCCGGCCGCCCGATTGTAACCCTTCCAGCAAGAGCCGAATGAGGGAGGGGCGGCGGGCTGGGGTTTCATCCGACGCCCACCAGGGGCTGAGTGAGCCTTCTTCAGTGCGCAAGCTCGGTGCACCAGATAAAAGCTGGGCTGGCAGCTCTTTCTCTGCCTTGATGGAGACGAGACAGTCGAGTGGCAGGAGGAAAAGGTTAGGGACAGGCTAGGGTAGTTCCCTCCCAAACGTGCCTTGCCTGGGTACAGCGAAAGCCTCTGACGGCTCGTGGTGCGGCCGTAGAAGGAAGAAGCTGAGGTGGAAAAAGGCTCTGCCTGCTGCCCGACTGGACGCAAAGAAGGCGGCTGTAATGGGGCACTGAGTATGCAGAGGGGTGAGAAAGGGAGGGAGATTAAATGTCTTGTGACCATGGTGGAGTGTGTGGATTTTTTTAAAATCATTATTTTGATTTCCCCTTGTCTAATCCCAGTGTATATTTTCTTTCTTTCTTTCTAGGGCGCTTGGTGGGGCTGCTTCGCTGGGGCTCTGCCTGTTGTAGTAGGAAATGGCGACTGGCGTCTCGGGGTGGTTAGTGCTTGTCGTGCTGTATGTTGGTTCTTCCTCTCCCCCCCCCTTTCCTTCCTGCCGTGGCCGTTTCTCCGCAGCGAACCGCGGAGAGCCCACTGAGTCTGGAGGAGGGGGTGGTGGAGGGGCAGCCAATCAGCTCTCCGGATGAACCGCGGAGTCGTGCTCTGATTGGCGGGTGCTGACATCATCCTGCAGTAGGGGAGACGCAGCTGCTGGGCAGGGCTGCGAGAGCTGTCAGGGGTGGCTGGTGCAAAGGGAGAAAACGGGCGCCATGATAAGCAGCGGCTGGGTGAGGGGGGGTAGGAAGGGAGGCTGTTCGACAGAGGCCGTTGCGGACGGCGGAGTGAAGAGGCAGGGAAGGAGGGCCCTCGGGCGACCTGACTGAACCCGACTCCCCGCCGGCGAGGAGTTGGGGGCGGGAGAATGTGGAAAAGAGAGAACGACTGCCTTGATAGTAGGATTGTGTCGGTCTATGTAACTGCGTCAGTTCAAGATGGCGCGAGGTCTCCCTGGAAAGGGAAGAGAGCTGCACGTCCGCCGGAGGTCATGTGACCGCATTGCATTCTTGTGTGGGGCTTGGCTGCGGACCAAACGCTCAGGAAGAGGCGGCGGCGGTGGTGGTCGTGGGTGGTTTGCCTGCCGGGGAGAGTCCCTTTTCGTGCGGTTGTAAAAGTTGCTGCGCTGCTCCCCTTCATTTCCGCATAGACACCCTCCTTGAATTCGCATGTAGCAGCTGTTTTGGGAAGCTTTTTTTTTTAGCCCCCCTCCTTCCCCTCCAGTGAAAGGGCGTTGACTGCTCTGAAAGAAACTCCCCTCCCCCTCATAGCAGCATAAAGCCATAGCTTCTGCGAGGGAAAGTTCTCGTTCTTTTCCACCCCAGGGAGTGGAGAAGGGAGTGAATACCTCGTGACATTTATCCCAGGCTGAAGTGCGGGGAGGGGAATTGGATTCAGGACAACATTCCAGTCCCAACCTATTAAGCGATTGCCTTTGTGGGATTAAATCAGCAAATCAGTCTGCGTTTGGGAGGAGGCGCAGTTGATTTTGGGATTGGAAGGAGGTTCAGGCAGCTTGCCATAATTTACATGTATCTTGTTTGAAGGGCCAAGTGCTTTAGTAGGAGATGAAAAATAATATTACAGCTTTTCCCAGTTACTAACTTGTAAAGAATTATCTTTTCAGTCTTTTTAATGTTTTATATTTTTGGCAACATGTACTCTTTCCAGAGCAAATGTGACTTGATATTGCTTGTGGATATGCAAGAAGGAAGTTGGGTACTGAACATTTGGTTAAGTTAGTTTGTGGATTTGTTTTTACTTAAGTTGCTCTAAAAAAACAGGAAGAAGACTTAACCCTGCTCCTGGAAGAGTTAATACTTTTATAAATTCCTAGGCTTCCAAACTGGGACTTTTTGCACTACTCTGTTTTAAACAATTTTTTCACATAAGATAGTGGTGACCATTACTAATCTATCAATGCTGAATATTAACATATTAGTAGATTCATTAATTCAGTAAATAATAAGTAGATAATTATACTATATTCCTTTTAATTGATAGATGATGTGACATGTCATTGTCTTAAACCTTATTACAGCAGTGGTTAAAATATTTCAGTGTTACTGCGACAGTGCTTTAATAAACTCACAAACAGCCATTTTGTTCAATTATTGGCTTAGAATTACAGTTGCTAGTTGATTGGGGCAGATTAATCTAAGTTAGGGCAGTTATATCTGAAGATCAAGCCCAGTTTGTTAAGCAGATTTCATTCTTTCACTAAGCTCCAGCACATTTCTCAGTTTCCATTGGCTGGCTTGAGTTAAAAAACTGTCAGTTATATCTCTTAAATATCTGTAGGGTAAATGGGCCTTTTTCTGTAGGTAGAGAAACAAGTTCTATGAATGTTTATAGAACCAATCTCATAGTTGCATATTGCAACTGAACAGATTTGCAGGCTAATTCATGAGTATCAGTTTTAATGATAGGCATGTTGAAACAGTTACAATGTACTAAAATTTGATACGTATTTGGCAATACAGTACATTATTGTTAACCATAGTTCTCATATGGTATCTGATGGTTTAGAAAATGTTAGCAGTAACCCAGAGTGATAGAATACACCAGATGGGCGGGATATAAATTGAACAAATAAAATAAAAAAATAAAATAAATAACATTTTACATGCAACTGTAGGAGGTGTGGCTTGAAGCTTATTTGGTTTTCTCCTGCAAGAATTATGCATTTGAAAACCAATGAATTTGGCATCTTTTTCTAGTGGAGGGCAGGATATGGCTGGCCTTGCAACAGCCTTTATCTACTTGATATATTAAATGCAAGTTTTTTTCTCTTCTACACCCTCTAGCAGTCAAGTTACTTATAGTAGTCTACATATACATTTAACTGTGTATGTTAAAGGAACATTGTATTCCAAAAATGTAATGGAATGGTTTTGGGGGTGGTGGTAGAATAATAGGATTTTCTGCACCCTAAACAGCTAGATGATAGCTAACAGTTTTATTAAGCAGAAAGCTTTGTTTTTAGTTTTCTTCCTCATTCTGTGTGTAAATACAGGAACACAGGTACTGTTACACTTAATTTAAAATCTAGTGCTGTAGGGACAGTTAAACCTGGCAGTGCAAGTCTGATCTTTATAGTGGAATTTAAGAAACAGGAAATCACTAAATTTACTCAAATAAGTTTGAAAAGAGAGAGACATCATATTGGGAAATGGTGGATTATGTTTGGGCCGGGCTCTTTCCTGAAAGTAACTGAATCAAAATACGATACATCTGTTGTGTAACAGAGTTTGCAATAAGCATTCTTCGTTTGTTGAAATAGTAGTTCCTGGTGTGGTAGGAGACTGCAGCTGAACAAATGTAATGATTATGAGGAAGTTCCTGTTTTGTGCTCTTTACAGAGGAAGAGATGGAGAAGAACAAAGCAGTGTTTATTAAAAAATTTAATTCCATTTTTGCAATCAAATGTCATTTTATAATCCAGAGAAATTAGAAAAAGACATTAAGAATACAGTAAATAGGGGAAGTTTGCAGGTAATACACAACGTCACAACAATTTTCTTGATATAAATTTACCAAATACTATTTTGAGTTCATGGATGTTATTTCATTTTTGTAGATGTAGGTGAATGGATGCTTCCAGCAAAACAACAGCCTACCATTTTCCAGAATGATGATTATTTCTAAGAT